CCTGGGGTGGTACCTGGCTGGGGAACACACTGGCAAAATTTCAGCTTCAAAGCTTGCGCGGCTAGCAAGTTGAAATAGCCGGACAGGCGAACACACACACACACACACACACAAAGATACACACACACACACACACACTGACAGGATCGTTGCAATATGCGTTTTTGCAGCCTATTGCAGCGCTCTAGCGCTGCACGGCAAAAACGCATAAAAATCAAAGAAATTAACCTAAAAAGTTTGCTGGAACAGAAAAAAACGTTTTGAGAACTATAAATTCAGCGCACAATCCAAAAAGCCTTGAGCAAAATTACAACGGCCAAAAAGGGCAATTTTAAATCAGAAAAAAGCTGCCTCAGCCAAATATATCAAAGCAGGGCTTAGCAAAGGTGAACGAAGCATCTAGAAATACTATAAAAAAGCTTTATGTTTGTTGTTCAACTTCGAGACGAATTTTCTTTTTATTTTTTGCATCTTTACAATGTAAAAACGCATGTTGTAGAAAGAACACAAAATCTACATGCGCGACCTAAAGATCCATGTATTACCTAAAGAATTTTAATTCAGTTCTCAAGCAGCCTAGATTTCCACGTGCAGTCACAAAATTAAAATTGGCGCCATGTCAGTTTGAGAATTCGGTTGAATAGGAAAATGATCAGAAAGTTTTATTTGATTTTCTTGCTGTTCAAGTATGAGGCGGTAATCTTAAAATGAATTTACACGCTTGCTCTATCTCTTTCGTTTTGTAACTCCGCAACCAGAGCAGCTCTGAAGTACTGAAATTATTCAAGCATAACCCAGAACCATATCTGGACAGGTGCAAGTGAAACAACTTTAAATTTTCGCTTGTATATCACGTAAGAACACGTTCAATTTGAAGCTACCAATTCTCTACAGTAGCTAGGATGTTTACGTGCATGCTTTATTTCCACATTTGGGTAAATGTACATGAAAAGAGTTTTCATTTCTTCCCAACTCACGGTGCGTATGGCGCTAACAATTTTTGCATGACATATTAACATCGTAAAAGCAAAAATAAAGATAATAACAAAATTCAAATTTTGATGTATATTGCTACTACCTTAGCCAGAATCATCCTTGAAAAAAACAGTGTTACTGACAAACGTCTGCAGGAAGAACCGTGCAAAAACGCATGATCACATTGGTAAGCCTGTTTTACGCCGCCATCTAGTAAACGCTTCTTTACAAGCCCTTGTACTATAACAACCACCACATCCACCAAAGTTTTACTCAATCATTCTCGCAAAATTTCCAACAGAGAAGGATGACGCCGTGTTGCATATTGAACATCTGGTGCGTCCACATGCAGCACTCACGAGTAAGCAAAAATTTTTTTTACGTTTGCGGGCTTGCACATGGCCAGTCAACATTTTCACGAAATTGCGGCTTTCTGCTTAGTCTGGTTGCGGATTTAAATGGGTGTTAAAACTGCTCAAAACTAAAATTTTACTGTCCCTTAAGGCAGTAACTTATTAACGCCAGAGCTAGTCTCTGGATGTGATTCCATGCTTTGCTCAGATTCATAATCTCTCATAAGCTAATTTCTGGGCGAAGCGTTCTGAAAATGCCATTAGAAAATTCAACTTTTCAAAAAGGGAGCTCATCACCTGAACTGCTATTTTTGCTCTGTTTTGAGCAGTGACCTTAGACCAAAGCCTATGTTGGTATTGTTCAGAATCGAGAAGATAACGAATCCGAAGTGCTGACCGACAAAAATCAACAGCTGAATCGAATGATGATAATGGCTTTGCGTAGCTGCTTCCAGCTTGTTCGGCCTTCTTGTGTACGTGTATGTAGCCCGCCCCTCGGCCCCTAAAATGCAGCATTAGGAAAGCTGCTTGTTTTGAATCAATTAGGTGAAGTGTTCCAGGAAGATGCTCGAGAAGTGATTATTGCAGGAAGCTCCATTACAGCCAAACCCGGTTGCCACGGAAACATCGGCTTTGGCTGATAATTTACACGTCGGCAGTAATACTTAGTAGAAGCCTCTTCAAATTTTCATCATTATTTTTCTGCATTTTGGTTTATTGGATTGCATGTAGATGAATTTTTCATTAAAATGCATGTTGATCCTTATTGATCTCTTTTCTTATTACTGATAGAAAATTTTAAAAGATTCTGTCGTAATTCAGTTAATCCTTATCTCATAATTAAATTTTAGGCTAGTAGCAAAAATCCAATAAATGGCCAACCCACGGGCTGCCCGTGCGAAGATGCGTTTTTTACAGAGTTCCT